TGACCTGAAGCAAGTTACTCAGCTTAGTGTCTTGTTTTCTCACTGGAGAGATGGGACTCCACAGCGTCCACTTCTCCTCAGTGTTAGCAAGAAGAATAAATGAACTGAACTAATGTGTGGAGAGCCTTCAAGTCTTAGAGCGCCAAGTGTGAAGTTCTGAGTTACGGCCCGGAACCGCCTGTCCCTTCGGCTTCCTCCCCTGCTCTTCTAGAGCAGCTGAGGTCTGGCCTCCGCTGACTGACTTGCCACCTGGATGTTTTTGCCTTTTTTAAGGCTTTATTTATTTATTTATTTACCCTGTGTGCGTGTGTGCATGTGTGCGTGCATGCGTGCGTGCGTGCGTGCGTGCGTGCGTGCGTGCGTGCGTGTGTGTGTGGTGTATAGATGCAGAGGTCACTCTCGGGAGCTGGCTCCTGTCCTCAACCATGTGCTCTGGAGATGAAATGGTCTTCTTCAGACTGGGTAGCACTGACCTGTCTCATTGGCCCTCACTCGACAACCCACCTCCCTGGCCCTACCTGGATTTGTTTTTAAAGAAATAACAGAAATAGTTACATGTTAGAAAATTAAAATGAGTAAGTGAATGGAAAAACGATCTAGGAACGTGTCTGGCATGCGGTATATGTCAACAAATGTTCCTGTTATTGTTTCCAACTCACAGCTCACAACTCTGAGAGCTTCCTCAGTGAGCCATAAACCAAGCTAGAACCAGTCACAGGCTCACCTCCTAACGTTTGCCTCTTCTGCCCTGGATCCTTGTGTCCAGCCAGCCTGGCCCAGTCCTGGGGGTGCTAGGAAAGGCCTCTTGGGGGTGGTTAGATAAACCAAGGTCACATGGTGGCTGAGGCAGCTGGAACCCAGGGCTCAGATCCCTGGGCAACTGACTGACTTGCCAGAAGCGTGTGTGTGGCCAGCCAATGGAGACCATCCAAGGTGCTGGGGTGTATCATTCATTTGCTTGTCTTGGTCCACAGTCATCTTCCTTTGGAAGCCCACGGCACAGGGGCATCTCTGACACTGTTCTGAGGTGCTATCTCGGTGCCGTAAGCAACCTTCCAGCTCGCCTTTGCCTTTTGGATGTCACTGGGTTTACCTCTGAGCCTCCTCACCCGGCCCTCTTCCCGACTCCCCACTCCCGGACACCATGTGCTCCTCAAGCTTCTGTGCGTTGCCGCGTGCTGTTCCCTGTCCTGAGAGGCTGTTCCCTCTCCTGAGCCCGAGGAGTCTCTCCTGGAAGCACAGGCCCTCCCTCTGAACCCCTTGATCACTTAGGCACGTTGAGCTGTTCACTTGGACTGTCCTTGTCCCTAAGGTGTTCGAGAGGAACATCCTTGTTTGTTTCTGTGTGGTCTCCTTGTGTCTCTCAGGACCCCACTCAGGATCTTCTGTGTCCTGGGAAGCTTGCTTACCATTGCATCAGAGATGGGGGTGGGGAGAAGGGGCCTTGGCTCCCCTCCCCAGGTCCCCCTGGCCGGCTGTGTTCCATGTGCACATGCCTCGGGTCACAGACACATTTTAGGTTGATGCTATGAAGAAAACAAAGCAGGTGCAGGGTGCGGGGTGACAGGAAGGGACATCATCTTCTATCAGTGATCAAGTGCCCTGGAGCAGAGAAGACCTGAGGGACAAGGCCAAGGATACCTCCATGGAATCACTCTACTGCAGGATTCGGGGTGATGGTCTTGGTCCTTGGAGAGCAGCAGAGATGTGGGGAGGCTAGGGAAAACTGACTGGCGAGGGGAATGTGGGGGGATGGAGGATGTGGGGGGGAGATGGGGACATAGGACTTGCTTCCCTGTAAGGCCCTGTCCAACCCTGAGATTTGAGGACTCCTTGAGAAGCTCCTGCTTGGAGTCAGGGCCCATCAATCACCTGGTCCTCATAATAATTGTGTGAGGGGGATGCTTCTATCCTCATTCCACACAAATGGGGCTCAGGGAGCTTAGACATCCACCCCGAGTCACACTGAGTCAGAGTCAAACTTGAAAGGGATGGACTATCTGATCTGCAGTCTAAAGGGTGTTTTCCCAAGACCAACATGTCTACTTGCCCAAGTGCCTTCTCATCTGTGACATCAACTCAAAGTTCCTGCCTAGGCTGGACTCACTGTGGTCATGTGGGATGGGAGGTCCCACTTCCTGGACAGTGAACCTGCAGAGCTGTGTGGTGCCCATCCTGTCCCACTCTTCCAGGGCTGAGCTTGGTGGCTAATGGATCATTTCAGCCCTTTAAGTTCTAGTAGACACCGCCCTGTCCTAAAGACTGTCATTTCCCATGGCTCACACAGACAATCAACGTGCTGGCTGCCTGGAGAGCTGGGAATGCCAGGCCGAAGGCATGTCTGTGAAGACAGAAGTGTTCTCTCATACTCCGCCATCCAGGCCTTTCCCGCCAGACACTGCCCTCACAGCTGAGGCATGCTCTGGGGTCTGGGAGGCCCAGCTCGTGGCTCATTCCCCCAGCTTAGGGAAGCATCTCTTCCTTTAGCCAACCCCCGTGTATCACAGCCATCTCCTTGAGCGTTTCCTTCCACACCCTCAGGTCCCTCAACTGTACAGTGAGGGAATTATACAAGTCAGCAAGCGGTACACCACTCACCATCACAGAGGACAGCACCCCAGGGCTCCCTTCAAGAGTATCCAAGCTTGTGTCCAGACTTCCTGGGCAGGGAAACTGCTGGTTATGTCTTTTTTCTTTTGTTGTTGTTGGTGGTGGTTGGTTTGTTGTTGTTTTGTTTTTATTGTTGTGTTAACTTGACATAAACTAGGGTCTTCTGGGAAGAGGTAACCTCAACTGAGAAAATGCCCTCTATAGACTGTCCTATAGACAAGTTTGTGTGACATTCTCTTAATTAATGATTGATGTGGGAGGGCCCAGCCCACTGTGGGCAGTGTCACCCCTGGTGATCCTAGGTCCTAAGAAAGCAGGCTGAGAGCCAGGTGGTGTTACACATCGTTTAACCCCAGTACTCGGGAAGCAGAGGCAGGGCAGATGTCTAAGTTCGAGGCCAGCCTGGTCTACAGAACCAGTTCCAGGACAGCCAGGGCTACACAGAGAAACCCTGTCTCAAAAACAAACAAACAAACAAACAAACAAACACCAAAAACAAATGAAAGAGAAAGCAGGCTGAGTACACCATAAAGAGAGCAAGCCAGAAAGCATCACTCCTCCACGGCCTCTGCTTCAGTTCCTGCCTCCAGGTTCCTGCCCTGACGTTCCTTCATGGTGGCCTATAAACTATAAGCTAAAATAAACCCTTTCCTCCCTGAGCTGCTTTGGGTCATGGTGTTTTACCACAGCACCAGGACAGAAACCGAGACCTAGGGGCTGTCACAACACATCAGGGCAAAGGCGCTCAACTCAGAACTGAGGGAGGTCGGGGAGCCAAAGGCTGGGTTCAGATACCCCAGGGTTGACCGAGGACTGCCCCGCAGGAACACTTACGCCCACGGACTCCCCGAATTCATCGAATCACCACACCCTCCACAAGACAAGAGGTGTAGAGCTGTTTGCCCAGACTTCCACAGTTGACGAACTTGGACTGGAAGCCGGTTTGGCTCTGAGTGTCCAGGCTACTCTTTCTCCTCCGCTTGATTCACTTCCCTTCGAGGGTTCTTCACGCTCTGCCATTTCTTCAAGGTCCCAGCTGGTCTGCCCCTGCGTCCCCAGTTCTGCTTGGCCACCTAGACACAGCTCAAGGGCAAGACTCACACCTGCCTGTGTGCTGCTGGGCGCTGCCTCACAGACACAGAGTCTGGGACCAGGGCATGCGCGATGGGGTGCCAAATGAACTGTGCTATAATGGGGCTTCCATCTTCTTAACCTCCTCCCAGTGGTCAGCAGCTGGAGTTTGGAGACCCCGGTTATTATTGTGCAAGGACTCCTTGAATGATCATTATGCAATATAAAGGTGAGCAGGGACAAACAGTAGAGTACAAATGCATCGTTTGTTTATTTTTCATTAACAAGGTTGTTCCACTTCTTGCTATCAAGTAGAGCTCTGGAGAAGGGTGTGTTAATTTGCATACTAATCCTAGAGGCCCTCACAAGGGAAGGGCAGGAAGTCCCCTTTGATCTGACGGAAGCACAGAAACATCATGTGGGTGGCCTGGAGCAGCTCTGAGAGACTGGAGCAGCTGAGAGACTGGAGCAACTCAAAGGGACTAGAGTAGGAGAAGGTACAGAGGGTTCCCGAGAGAGCTCGCCTGCTGAGCGAGGAAGAGCTGCCGATAAGAACATCAGAGCAAGGGCGAAGACACATGGAACTTTAGTCAGTGTCTTGGCCAAAGATGACAAGACATTCAAGCAAAAGTCCCAATGCAGAAGCCACACCTCCTCAGCTGCAGCCTCCCCTCTGAGCACGCTGTTCAGCCTGCCTGGTGTCTATAGGAATCGGGCCCAGGAAGCCATTGCCACCTCTGTGGGTGAGCATCCACGAGGATGCACAGGACGAATCTTCAGTAGTGACATGGTGTGGCAGAGGCTGAAACACCGGCCCGAGACGGAGCTTTGGCTCTCTTCCCGCTCCATGGAGGCTGAGCTGGAGTTCTTTAGGCAGAGTCTTCACACAAGTCCATTCAGGAGGGAGAAAGCCCTGAACCAATACTAGCCTTCCTACTAATGAAGGTCTGAGAAACCAAGAGGTGCTTTTATATGTACCCTGAGTTGCTGAAGAACAGGATGAGTGTGTTGTATTCACACTGCCACTGGTGACCCCAACTACCCAAGCTCCCCAACTACCCAAGCTCATAAGATGCACATATGGGAGCATGCTTTCCTGTAGCAAAATAGCCTTAAAATTAATAACAAAACAGCAATTGTGATCGTCTCCAGAACCCTTATCCACACACACTCTTCTCAGAGCCCTGTCATGAGCAGAGCAGAAAACACTGATCCCGAGAGAACAGGCTCAGAGAGGAACGGGATGCGCCCGTGGTCACCAACGTGTCCACAAGCCCCACCCTGCCCTGCTGTGGGTCCCCACGCCGCTCTCTTCTGGCTTACAGCAGCATCAGGACCACAATGGCAATGATCATAAGGACTCCAGCTAGGATGCAGAGGCCCAGGAAGACGATGTCACTGGTGTCCTGGGACACCACCGTCCCTGGGCCCTCCAGGACCTCTGCCTCATCCCCGGATGGTGCCTCCTGAAGGTGCTCAGCCGTGGCAGCATAGGGCCCGAGCCAGTGAGAGCCTGACAGCAAGTGGGCAGATGCCTCCTTGCGCCTCGGCTCACAGCGCACCTCGTACTCGTGGATGTCCTCGTGCCCAGCAGCGGAGAAGTCGATGTACAGCACGCTGACGATCACTGAGGTGTTATTTCTTCTCTGTGGGGGTCACAGATACGTGTTCATGCCCAAGGAGGCTCTGCCTCTCCTGGTTCCTCTAAATACACATAGGCCTGATCCCACAGCTTTGCCACAGATCCCTTGACACTCTGAGCCTCAGAGTCCTCATCTATCAAAAGGGCAGAAGGGCCAGCAAGTTGGCTCAGTGGGTAAAGGAACTTGCCACCAAGCCTGACAGCTTGAACTCCATCACTGAAACCCAAATAGTGGAGGGAGAAAACTAACTCCCATAAGTTGCACACACACACACACACACACACACACACACACACACACACACACACACACTTTAAAATAACTATAAAAGAGGACACTGTGAGTGTGGACTGTCTTGAAGGGCATCATACTTGATGGGCCAACGTTTGCTCTGGTTTCAAGGGGCCGAAAGATAGTAACAGTGAGAACACCAAGTCTGGAAGATGTAGCTTAGGGGCAGAGCACTTGACTGGTGTGTGTGTGAGGCTCCACGTTCAA